CTCTCAGCATCACAGTTTAAATGTTTCTGTAAATCTTGACTCATGCTTTTGGATGATTTTCATTTAAAAAAAAAACAAAAAAAAACCCCACCCACGTTCCTTTCTAGAACTATCTATATCTATCTGAAAATACTTTCATGTTTTCTTTGCTTGCAAATGACACCAACAAAATAAAATTTTTCCATTATAAAAGATGAGTTTTAGCAATCACAGTTCTTTGCACTTAATGTTTCAGAGAGCTTACAGGTAGCCTGTGTTTTCTTTCTTCATTTGTCTTGAAAACTAATTTCCAACCAGAAAAATGCCTAGGTATTATTAGTCCCTTCAGATAAGTAATTTTGATTCTCAGGCCTTCCTTAAGTAGAAACATTGTCTTCTATTGAGTCTTTAAATGACTTTTCCAGACTGTCCTTCAACAATGAGAAACACCTGGCGCTCCAGCTGTCCGTCTGTTATCATCTTCCCCCCATTGCTTTCATCTGACTACAACTATTTCCTCTTTGAGTTATGACTCCTCAAGCACGCCTTCGCAGTGTTACTCTCTACATGGCCAGTTCTGTTCCCTCTTAGTTCCTGGGTGCCTGTAACTATCTCTTTATTGTTTTATACTTTATTAATTGTCCTGGGTCCCTTGCTCTCCATTTCATATTTTAGCTCCTGTTTCACAAATTCTTGTTTTATTTACTTCACTAAAGCCACATGTGATGGCCAACTTTCTTTTACTTTTGCCTCTGCAATTTTATTTAATCACTTATTTTAAAGTGTTAGAATCTTTAGTCTCCATCTTCATCCATGAATGTAAATGTAACTCCACACCAAAACACAGCCAATGACTGTACATTAGTTTGGCTGTTTGCACCCTCTTACCCTTTTAAGTTCCTCCAAGAACTTAATCTAGGAAATGCATGCAGTTGGTCTCCATGGGCTAATGTAAATAGTCTTTGTCGGGCTAGGGAGAGTTAGGGATGGACTTGACCTTTGGCCTTGGTCCTTGACATAAGGGAACATCATCCTTGCAAGGTTGGTTGGTTTGTTCTGGACATATTTACAACACTTCTGCGTTTTCTCTTGTTTCCTTGATCTCTACCTGAGATTCTCTCATGCTATACCTGGCCTCATTCTGGATCCTATCGAAGCCACATAATCAGGGACAGAAGTCTCCCATTTTCCTGCAGTCCATGCCAGATAGGGTCTTGCAGTTACCCAGGCCATTTCCTCCATGGCATGACCATGCCTCCGCTCTCCTGTATGGCTCCTCTGTACAGTGCTACCACACAGTGGTGTCTGGGCTTCAAGGGACGGTCTTGTCCCACTCAGGCTCCAGTTCCACTACTTCTTACTTCAAATTTATTTCCAGCTTTGTTTGGTTCTGTTCAAGAAACTCCTTAAAAGTATTTCTCTCTCTCTCTCTCTCTTTTTTAAACTTGGCAACAACGTTGAAAAGCAGACCTTGGCTGACCTCTTTCAAACTCGGCCCATCTGCTTTGATTCTCACACTCATTTCCTACTAGCTCTATGTGTCACCATCCCCCGAATGGGATATCTGCTCCCTTAGTCACCTCCCAAGACCTCTGTCAAGAGATCGGGGTGCATCTAAGTGATGGTGAGAGGGGGAGTGAGAGGAAGCTGTCTATGTTTAGCTTCCTTTCCTGAAGTCATAAACTGTCTTCCCCTTCTCAACTTTCACTGAGCTCCTCGGATCATTAAGTTTTCGTTTTTGCACTTACGATGCCCCCAAAAATACTTCTAAGAGCCATTACTGCCTTCATTTCTACTTTAAAGATCTATTGCATTTACTTGTTTGAGGGAGGACACGCATGCCATAGTGGAGGTCAGGGGACAGCTTGCAGGAGCTGGTTTCATCCCACCATGAGACCCAAGAAGTAAACTCAGACTGCCAGGTTGCCGGGCCAGACAATGAGCACCGCTGAATCCTCCCCTGGCACGGTGCTACAACACCTTCTCTGTCTTCATCGTCTTGAGCCTCCTTACAGAGTATCATTGATTCATTCGGCCGGCCATGGTGCCTAGTCCGTTCTTTGGAATCGGCAGAGGTTAATAACTAAGACCTCCTGTGTACTGAGCACTTACTGCGCAGTAGGCATTGTGTTGAGCACTTGGCATTGATAGCCATTTAGTTAGCAGTTAGCTCTCTGGGTGTGCCCAGCTCCGCTGTCTCTGCCCTACTGCTGCTCCATGGTCCGTACAATTCCCTGATCACAGGTGAGCTGTCTGGGTTCACAGAGAGCTAAGTAACCTGTCCAAGGATGCTCGGACATTAAGTGGTAGATTTGGAATTTGATCCAGTTGGTCTAGCTTTGCAATCCACAATTCTGCTGCAAACCCTAAGACTTCAGCATTGGACCCTGTGCTCATGACCGCTGTGCAATACTGCCTCCCCATGGTAGGGTTAGGAAAGAAACAATTTCAGTTCATGGCGAGGCACTTGAGAGGAGAGAGGATTCCATAAATTGATGTGTGAATGTGGAACCGGGGCTTCCAGGGGAGGCTTAAAACGGAGGCATTGAAATCGCTGACTGGTGATCACTGTAGCAGAACAAAGGGTAGAAGGCTAAGGGCAGGTTTGTCTTCAGTCTGCTCTCTCGTGGATGGCGACTAATCACTACAACTTCCTTATAATTGAAAATCCAAATGGAGCCAGTTTTGAGAGACAAAGAGGAAGCTATTACTTACGCCAGGACAACACAAACATACTGGGCCTCTCTTGGGCAAGCCGGGATGTTTGGTCACCTTGGTAACAAGGATCCGTAGCATCCCACATGTATCTCACTTTGGACTGCTGGAGTGCTATGGCTGTAACTGGGCCACCACACTCTCACCTTGTTTTACAGCTTTGCAGAAGAGGAGGGGTGATAGCACACTGACTAGGGTGTCCTTACAAACTTTGCCACCCTCAGAGGTCCTCTGCACACTAATGGGGGCTGTACATGAATGAGCATCCTTGGATAATGGAAAAGATAAGGTCTAGATGCGATGTTTCATGACAAACACAGAGCATTTTTTTCCTCTCCATCTCAATACCGGACCAACCCACTGCTGTCGGAGGACAGAAGTTGTTTGAGGTTGGGAGATTCTGAACAAGAGATTTTAAGTCAAGATGCAAGGCAAAGAGGTGGTTGTGCTTAATTATTTGGGGGCCATAAGTAGCCTACAGCTCGTGTCCTAAAGATAAGGGCATCACTTAGATGGAGATGGAGTGGGGATGACTGACTGCAGCTAAGGGCGTGGCTTAGTTTTAGAACCCACACAGAAGAGTGGTTTTAAGTTGAAAAGGTGTGGGATGTGGCAAGAGAGGAAGCTTGGGAACTGCCTGGTGAACACAGCAATAAAGGTCCCTAGTGTCTTGCCAAAGCATTCACACTTGGTCCTGAAAGAGCTTCCAACCGTGTTCAGAGTATATATAAGAGGCGTGACAAGTTGGTGTCAAGGTTAGATTTTTTTTTTTTAAAGGTTGATTGGTACTTGAGTTCCAGAAGATAAGATGGATGAGGTACCAAAAGAGATCAATTTGGGCACGATTTCGCTGAACTGGTAAAAATGGTAGAAACCTGAGCACAGTAACGGCCATGTGGAGACTGGGGCAGACCCAGGGCAGGTGTGAGTGTGTTACAGAGTGAGGAAGGATTGATTACTCCCAGGTCTTCAGCTGAAAGGCCTGGCTTACTGGAAGCGTCATCCTCTGAGAACAGACCCATGGGAGGAGATGGCTTTAAGGGCATCTTTCTCCTGGCTCCCTTCTCCCCCCACTTCCGCCCATGCACCGCTACCGTCCCGCACTGGCCCCCTCCCCACCACTCTGCCCTGCCCTGCTGAGTGAAGTTTCTTCTTTTGCCTGGACAGCTATTGGCAAGTCCTCTGGACTAGACCTTGGACATCTTCCTCTTCAAACTCCACCTCTTTCTGACAGTTTAAAACTCTTATACTATTATCTTTATATTAATCATTACCCCTGCCTACATTTTCAGCTGCTGCCCTTGGGCTAACAATATTCAAGGCTTTATTTTCAGCCCTAAGTCTCCGGTAGAGAGCTTACTCAACGTCTCCACCCAAATGGCCTACATGCTCAGATGCTCCATGTCCAAGACAAGGTTCTCTAGTGTTCTGCAAGCTGCTTCTTCCGGGGCAGCATCCCCTCCCATACACTCAGCCAATTGCTCAAGTCTTGCTTTTTAAAACAAAGTTTCTAGTTTTACCTTTTTTTTTTTTTTTTTTAATCTCCATCCCCACCACAAAAATAGGTCATGGGTATATATCCAATAGAGACATCCACTGGACACTATTGTCCTCAGAAATTCCTAATGTTAAAAAAAATGAAATTACTTATCTTCAAAGTTATTGCTGGAGGGATAAAAGCCAAATTCTTCCTAGGGTCTTTCCCTGTCACAGTCACATGGCAAGAGTATGTGTCAGTTGGCTTTCCTTTACATTGCTTCTTTATCGTCTGACAAAATCTCAGTCGGTTTCCAAGTTCCTGGTCCAAAGTTACCTCCTCTTTGAAGCCTGCCAACTTCCCTCTCCTATTAATCCAGATTACCTCACTAGCATTTCTCTTGTTTTGCCTCTTCCACTGACCTCGAGCTCCTTGAGAACTGGACATGTCCTGGCATCTATCATTCCTAAGGCATTGTTTCCTAAATACTGAACTGATCTATATCCCTGAGCCAGGTGTGATGGCACAGGCCTGTAACCCAGCACCTGAGTGACAGAAGTAGGATTGCCAGGAGGAGTTGAAGGGCCAGCTTGGGTTATGTGAGAGCCTGTCATAAAACACACACCACACACATGCACATACACACATACAGAAAGAGAGAGAAAGAATGGGTGAGGGGAAGAGGAAGGGAAGAAGGAGGAATAAACAGATATATGTCTCTTACCCCAGCCAGATAGTCTTCATTGCTTGGAAGATACAGAGGCATTATTTGTTAGACCACAACATTTCTCTAGGGTTAGTTATCACCACCAGCACCATGACCACTGACGTCATCATCACCGCTATGTCTACCATGACCACCATCTTTGTTACCATCATCACTATTATCAGCACCCCATCACTGTCAGCATCATGATCATCATCATCTCTTTCATCACCACCACTCTTACGATCATTCCTGTCACCATCATCACCATGACAATCATCCTTGTCATCATCATCACCTCTATAACCATCACCTCTGTCATGAACCCTATCACTACAACTGTTACCATCATTCTTGTCATTATTGTTATCCCTGTCACCATCACTGCCATCCCTATCATGATCATTCCTATCACCATCCTCCTTGTCACAGTTACCACCATTACCATCCTGGCCATTATTGTTACTGCCATCACCCCTATCGCCATCTCTATCACCACCATCCCTCTCACCACCATCATCCTTATCACTGTCAGCAGCAGCATCTTTATCACCACTCATCATCTGGTGAGCAATGCCAAATGTTGGTTAAAGATTTTGATCTTTAGAACATTTCTGTGAGTATAAAATTTAATGCCTATTTTATTAATAAGAAGGACTAAGCTTCAGAGAGTTCACTGATTTAAATTCTCTTCCCAC